CTAGCTGTTTAAAAAACCATAAACAAATATCAATTCCAATTAAAGATCTCAATGTGAAAAATAAAATTTTATAACTTTGAGAAAAAATAGAGGACAATGTATCAGTGGCCTCATTATGGAAAAGAATTTCTAAAACAAGACAAAACGAGCATAAATCATACAGAAAAATACTGGTAAACTTGACTTCACTAAAATTTAAAACTTCTATGTGATGAAAGATGCTATAACCAATGTCAGAAGAAATCTGCAGAATGAGAGAAGATATTTTCATGCTTTTTTTTGTAAAAAAGATCTATATCAAGAATCTATTTTTTTAAAATCACAAGAATAATGAAGAAAAAGGAAACTCAACTGAAAAATGGGTATGAAGAAGTAATACATGAAAAAGGAAGCAAGCAAAAAAAAAAATAGATGCTTACCCTTATTAGTAATGGGTAGTGGTGGGAAGAAGAGAGAAAGTAGGAAACTAACAAACATATAAGCTGCAATGCAATTTTAGACTTACTAAGTTGGGGAGCTCTGGTGCTGTAGTGCCTAAGGCATTTGACTGCTAACCAGAAGGCTGGTAGTTCAAACCCACCAGCCACTCCTCAGAAGGAAAACTGGGCAATTTACTTCCGTACTGATACCACCTTGAAAACCCAAGGAGGGGTTGTTATGAGTCGGAGACCACTTGATGGCACATAACAACAACAGCAAGCTGGGAAAACTGAATAGTATTGATCAAAGCAAGTATTGGTGAAAATATAGAGAAAGAGGAAATCTCAAACACTGTTGACAGGAATGTTAATTTATATATTTATTTTACAAAGCAGTTTGGCAAAATTCTAGTTAATTGGAAAATAAGCATTCTCTTCAGTCTGAAAAATTCCAATTCTTCTTATATTCTAGAGAAATGCTAGCAAATGTATACAAGGAGACATAAGCAAGAATATTCATTGCAGTATTTTTATGTTGTACTAGAAAACAATTGCAAGCAATTTAAATTTCCCATCAATATTCCCACTTTATGATAAAGTGATGCAACAGACTACTATGCAGTCAAAATTAATGAATTGGAGCCAAACATGTAAACATGGATAAATCTCAAAACATAATGTTAACATTTAAAAAAGCCAGTTGCAAGAGAATGTATATAGGATGGTTCCATTTTACACTGAAAACATGCAAACCAATATGTACATAATGTGGCTGTGGTATAAAATATTTTATGAGAATAATAAACCAATTTAAGATTGTGTTAGGAGCTCTGGTGGCATGGTGCCTAAGGCATTTGGCTGCTAACCAGAAGACTAGTGGTTTAAACCACTCTTTGGAAGGAAGACTGGGCAATCTACTTCTATAGTGATACTGCCTTGGAAACCCAAGAAGGGGTCACTATGAGTCAGATCTGACTCAATGGCAATGAGGTTTTTTTTTTTTTTCTTTCTAGTGAATGGGGTGGAGATAGAATCCAGGAGGAAAAGACAGGGACTTTCAACTCTATCTGCAATGACTTTATTATTATTATTACCATTGGTAGTAGCAGTGGTATAAATATGGCAAATGTTAAGATTTAATAAAATTGGGCTCTCTATACTTTTCCTTATTATTTCCTAATTTTTAAAGAATCTGACAATCCTTCTAATTGAGTAAGCCAACTTGGACAAATTGAATCTAAGCAAATTTGGGCTGCACCTTCCCGGACTTGCTTCAACATTAAGAAAGGAGTTGTAAAATTGTTGTTAGTTGATGCCAAATTGATTCTGACAATCCCATGCATGAAGAATAGAACTGCTCCAAAGGATTTTCAAGACTGACATTTCAGAAGCAGATCACCAGGCCTGTTTTTCTGAGTCACCTCTAGGCAGATTCAAACCATAAACTTTTTGGCTAGTGGGCAAGTACTTGACCATTTGCACCATCCAGATGGCTGAACTATAAAATAGTACTCACCAATTCCTCTGATTGCCTTGTGAATAATTTCAGCATCAACTGATGGGCTAATGCCTGGATAATCTCTAATAGTTCCTCGATGTCCAACCTAGAAGAAAATATTTAAAAATTGTTTATATTGCATATACATAGTCAGTATATGAAAAACCTGTACAGTTTTGTACCCTTTTGTACATACAGTACTGCATTGTCAGTTAGACCAAAGTCACAGGGGACATCAAGATCAATTGGCAAATATGAGTATACAGGTAGACAGATGGGTGGACAGGCTGAACTATTAGGTATGTCTATGAAGGGAGGAGTGTACCCAAGACTGTGTATAGGGTTGACAGACAATGTTTCTCAATGTTTCTGTAAGAGTATTTGTAAATTCTGTAAGAATTACCAGGTGTAAAGTAGAGCTGACAAGGGACAAGGTTGTAGTCTTCTTGGGCACAGCCAGCTACCCAGAGGGAGCAAGTAATTGGACCTGTGGGCTCGGGACCATAGTCACACGGGACATCAAGCTCAGTTGGTATAACATACTACACAAAACATTGTTCTACTTCCTACTTTGGTGAGTAGTGACTAGGATCTTAAAAGCTTGCAAGCAGCCATCTAGATGCAATGATGGGTTTCTCCTCGTCCAGAGCAAAGAAGAATGAAGAAAACCAAAGATTCATGGAAACCATTAGTCCAAGTGACTGGTATACCATGTGATCCTCAGGCTATATAAGTATGAGACTGGAAGAACTAGATGGTGCCCAGCTACTGCTGTCAACTTCTCAAAGGGGAATCTACGCAGGAGATCCTGGATAGAGAGGGAGAACAATGTGGAACAAAACTCAAAATCATTTGGGGAAATAAAAAAGGGGGGACCAGGTTTGCTGGTCTGATAGAGCCTGATGGAACCACTGAGATCATGGCCCCTAGCTGCCCTTCAGGTCTGGAATTGAACCCACACCTGTGGCTTTCAGCCAAACAAAAAACAGGCATATGAGGTGAACATTTACACTAAGTCG